GATGTTCTCAGGGGAGTGTCTACAAGAACCATTATAATATATTCAGTCCAGCAAGCGTCATCACCCACCCCGTGATTTGGGCAGCCACTGGCACCACACCAATACCAATACAAAAGAACAGTGGAGATCTTGTACTATAATGGTAAAGTGACTTTAATATGCAGATGTATTCACTTACAAAATACAAATACTAGCGTGCAAAACAAGAAAGAAAATATAATAACAGTATGTCAGAAAACTCGTTTATAAAAGCCTAATAGCAACTCTTAGTTAAGCGGGTGTAGGTTATCATCCCACTCTCTGATTACTGTGTGAGGACGTACACAGTAATAATTGGTCACAATATGGAGTTATTGGGAGCCGGAGAAACTGTGGTACAGTGAGAGAAGACGCGTGCCTGGCCCTCAGCACCACCACCTCACACAGCGTGCCTGGCCCTCAGCACCACCACCTCACACAGCCTGCCTGGCTCTCACAGCATCACATCCCTGCCATCACTTACACTGGACTTCCCGTAGTTATTTATAACCAGATAATTAGCGGCTGTATCGAGTTGTGCCGCCATAATTGGTTCTTTGTTGAGGTCACGAGGAAAATAATGTCCAGTTTTAATTGAACTTGACAAGAGGATGGGTGGGAGACCAACACGAGACCGCCAGCGATAGTGTCGTAACTCAGGGGTGTCCGGGCGTGGTGGTAATCAATAAACTAACATTACCTGTAAGTAACAGCTCTTGCAGAAGTAAACACCGTTATGATTACAATTTACAAGACATTGTTTCACGACACCACGTTTTGTTGGCCACGAGAGAGCCTCCGTAACCTGGTAGTAATTTTTGTTTGGCGCAAACATCCCCTGGACGTCATCTTACTGTCCAACACACACACTGCCTCACACCTAACATGGGTTGGGATATATTGACATGGGTAATACAGGCTTGATTTTTGGCTCGTGTTAATCAGTTATTTGATCTCGGAGGATAAAGTACTGTAGTTTAAGTGTAAAATTAACACATTAGCCTTGAAGTCCTCAGAGTCTCTACCACTCTCTCTGACTTTGCTGACTCTTTAAACAATGTTGGCGTCACACACACCACCACCGTCTTGTGTATGGAGAGGCGCGACACGTGTGAGCAACAGGTTACTGCTGCTGGTGGTGTTACGGCCGCTTTACTTTGTCTTTCCTTGGTGAAATAAATAAAGGGAACAGCACCCAGCTTAATCACAGGTTGCTGCTTCCTTGTAGGGTTTACCGTGATGTAGTGACGTTTCTGAATGTGAATATCACACCAACTGTATCTTGACAATCTGGGTATTTTGATGGTGATATTTTAACCAGAGGGATATGTCCTTGTATTGCCCCCCCGCCTCCACCCCCCACATTACCTCCCGTTGCTCCTCCTTCGCCACATCTCCACTCAAGCATTTTAGATTCAAGTTAATATAATTAATCAGTAATGTAATAACAGGTGTAATATAACAAACTCCAATTCATTCTCCCCCCCCTCTTTGGCGTGGGGGTCGACCTTTGTCACTGGTACGAGGCTCGCTGCTCACAGGTTCCTCCCCGGGGGCCAACCTGCGCCTCGTGCTTGCGCATGTCACTCGCTGTACCACCGTTTGTGACTGTTATCTCAGTCTTTGTGTCTGATCGTTCCTCTAAGTTAAGAAGTCAACATTCATAGTAATATTAGCGAGGGTATTGTAGCTACCGGGTCGAGTATGTGTCCCATCAACTGAGGACGAGGGAATCAGTCTAGGAATTTTATCGTCTCTGTCTAATTTCGATTTTCCACTTCGGCCGTTAACCATGTCTTACAGACTAGTTTAACCAGTTAGAAGCTTCCTCCTGGGTGAAGGTGTTGATTGGAGGAGTGAGTGGGACTGTAGATGAGGGAGTGTGAACAGAGGTGGACATACAGTAGTACCCTGAACACAGGAGTGTATGTGTGTGTGTGTGTGGAAGTAGTGCAAAATATAGATCTGAATAGAAAAAAAAATGGTCGATAATCGTGTGTCTGTTTGTGTTTGTGACATTTTTATTGCTGTTTTAAATGCTTGTTTGAGTGTTTAATGAATTTTGAGTGCGTTATGTGTTTTGAGTGTGTCTATGTGTGTTTGAGTGTTTGTGTTTTTTGGTGTATTTGTGTTTTGAGTGTTTATGTGTTTTGAGTGTGTTTATGTCTTTTGAGTGTGTTTGTTTTTTGAGTGTGTTTGTTTTTTGTGTGTGTTTATGCGTATTTTGGTCTGTTTTTGTTTTTGTGTGCAGTCATGATTGTGTGCGTTAATTCTCAGGTTCATTAACACATACATACACCTTCCCACGAGAGCTTACGATTCGAGGCTGTGTGTACCAATTCTCGGATATTCCTGCAGTAAGAAATTCCTCTCTAACTAAAAATAATAAATAATGGCTGCCCCTCGTGTAACGAGGATGACCTGCCCTTGGCGTGAATTTGTTTAGGGTGGAGAACCAATTATTGCTGGGTAGATAGAGGAAAATGGTGTAGAGAAACATGCCCATAGTTTCACCCTGCCCGGGGATCAAACCTGGATCCGCTCGCTTGCCAGACAAGCATGTTGACCATTACACCACAGGTCGACTCATTCTGACTTTCAAGTTTTTGGACAAGAAAATGACTTTAAAAATGGCGTAAAAGATGCACTGTATCGTAATTTGATCGAGCAGTCATGAAATATGCGGGTTTTTTTATAATTATACTGCAATTATATTTCCAATGGCTTTGTAACTTTCATGAAGCACATTACCGTTGTTAATAACACTATATTTTACGGTAATACACATTGTATTACGCGAATATCAATGAAGTTTATGGAAATATTTCTTGCGCATCTCTATAACTTAAATTCATTAAAGTGTATATATTATCATTACAGCAGACAACATACTGTATACTGTTGTCATTATATTACAGTCATCTGTGGGTGATAGTACTACAAGCTGCCTCTGTATTGTTTAAGATGTGTGACCGATGTAACAGTCCCGAAAAATACTCTTATTCGAGTGTTTTGGACGATAACCGTTATCACCAGCCAGCCTCCTACATATCGTGAATAGTATAATTTACTTGATATGGTTCGCAAAAATGAAGAATAGCTAATGTTAAGTGAGTTTTCTAATGACAGAGGTCAAAGGCCAGGTCTTACAACGTCGCCCTTTGAACGCTTATGTGAAATTATCTTTCACCGGGCCACCATAACTGCCTTGATCAAGCCAGCTGCACGATAATTAAGAGTGGCGATTACTTATAGGTGAGTCGACCCGACTTTCTCCATCCAGTGATAGGTAAGACGGTGGAGTGGAGGGCTGGGGCGGTAGGGAGAGTTGAGGGCGGGAGCGGCAGGAAGAGTGGAAGGGCTGGAGCAATAGGGAGAGACAGACTGTGGAGGGCTGGGGCGGTAGGGAGAGTGGAGGGCGGGAGCGGCAGGAAGAGTGGAAGGGCTGGAGCAATAGGGAGAGACAGACTGTGGAGGGCTGGGGCGGTAGGGAGAGTGGAGGGCGGGAGGATTCAACAGTTTTGCCAGGTCTACCCGGCCAAATTTCCCTAGCAGCGCCCTCAACATTTTCGTTTTTGACATGAAATTTCCTTAGTCGAGGCGGCCATATAATGTGTACAAGAGTAGTAGTTACAAAGCGAATGAGCAAACGTTATTTACATCACCCCATAAGCTAGTGCAGGATATTCAGCCGAAAAAGCAATACTCTTTGCGTTGTACTGGGTGTGTCTGCGCTTCATTCTTATGGTATTCGACCAGGAGACAACACCTCTGTTGATATGCTGAGGAAGATAATTATACTCTGCTCCTCTTAGGCTCTGGCCAGAAGTTGCCGGGACAGGTGTTTGTTGAAGTCAGATATTGGTTCCAGCTGAATGTAAATTATTATTTTTTTGTGTGTCTTCGTCTATTTGTCACAATAACAGACGGGTACATATTAAAATATATCACACTGTATATTACTACACAATATACAGATTCGTAAAGAGATTTAACATGAAAATCTCCAGTTTGTAACTGAAGGCAGCAGTTCCCCGGCACTTTATTTAACCTTCCCTCGCTGTTGGCGGAGTATGAAGGCTGCTTCTCAACTGATAGCCGCTTCTCCTCATGTAGGATTAAATGATAAGGAGGAGGTGTGTTCATAAGGGCCCAGGCATGGCTGTTATTTGGCTCCATTACGTTATGTTACGGCACAATAACCTGTCTCTCTGGCCTCTGCCCAGTGGTGTTGAATCGGTCTCTCTCTATACATAGGATGAGGAACCAAACCTTTTTTTACTGTTTATTTTCATCTTCCATTTTGTATTGCTAATTTTGATATTTTAATGGATTTTAAATGCTCTTAAAGGAAGCAATTTGATGATGAAATCGCTGAAAAATATATTAATTTATATTTTATTAAAGTCTACCCCGTAATATATGGATGACATCATTATGACCTGACCTCATGTTTTTAAGGTCACCCTGTATATTTAAGCCTCTCTCTGTCCATGTAATCCAGTTGCCTCTGAAGATGTCTTGAATAAAGACGAAAGCTAAGGTGCTCCGTTGTTTCCCCTTTTCCCGTGTGATTTTATCAATATATAAATATATATATATATATATATATATATATATATATATATATATATATATATATATATATATATATATATATATATATATATATATATATATATATATATACACACACACACACACACACACACAGTGTTGGTGTTCTGTAATAGTAATGTAGGACTTACCTAATATTACAGTAGATATTTATATATTCAGTAATCCCTGGAGTATGTGCACTAGTTTGCAATTTTTGCAATTCACTTCATAAGTTGCTGTTATATAATACATGCAACTTCCAAACTTAGCTCTTACACTGTTCATTTGCATCTTAAGAGTTGAATAGTTAGTGGTTAGGATGAAAGTCGGAATGAAGTGTATTATCACTATCCCATTATTTATCTCTACATCTTCTTCCTCAGGTTCGAAGATCGCCACCCTGCGTGGCTCAGACCCTGACGGTGATCCGTTGACCTTCGGCGTGCGAGGGGTTGAGGGCCGCGACCTCCTGAGGATTGAACAGAATGGCGCCAATGAGGCCAACGTGTACCTGAGAAAGGCCCTGGACAGAGAGGTAACCTGCGGCACAGTGAGACAGGGATGATAATAGATGTGTCTGTGGATTGTCGGAAAGGGATAAAGAATATAAAGGATGGGTTATGAGTGTCAGTAGTTAGGACAGGCTGCTGCTGCTGAGAGGTCAGGAGGGAGAGAATGGTGATAAATAAGGTGGAATTGTCATTGGCTACAATTGTTAAATTTTGGCTGAATAACTTGATGCCAACATCCAGAATACGTGTAAGTAATGTAGTTACAGTTGTACGAACGGTGCTTCGAGAATTAATGAAAATTATTATTAATTTATACTATATGGTTTGAGATTAGTACTGTGAGGTTTAATACCCTCTTGACATGTCCTCCACAGATCAAGGATGAGTACACGATGGTACTGACGCTCACAGACAATAAGCTTGGTGAAGGGCAGTTCATTACACAGTCTATGCTGCTCCTTGTTGAGGACATCAATGACAACGAACCAATCTTCCGGCCTTATGAGTCTTCAGTGGTCGTTGATGAGAATGCTCCACCCCGAGTGCTGGCCACGCTGCTTGCCACCGACCAAGATGAAGGGCCGTTTGGACAGGTGAAACAAACTTATCCTTAGATTGACTTACAATCAGCCATTCATGAATATATGATTGCCTCAGTATTTTGAATAATTTTACCATCTCCGTAAAACTAAATTTTTATATTTGCAGTGTTAATGTAAGATATTAATATCTAGTTAATAAATATTGGTAATCCCACATGATGTGTTATAGGTGATCTACCGTCTGGATGCAGACTCTGAAAGCGACGCTGAGAAGTTTACAGTAAACACTTTAGACGGGAAAGGCATATTGAGGCTTGTTGGTGATCTCGACTACGAGAGGAAGTCCCTCTACCAACTTAGGGTAAGATGCCACCCTGATTCACACCTACTGCATTTGTTAATTTAAGTGCTCCGTATGTGCATCTAAAAACTTATGCTTGCAATCAGATTCCTTTGTATGTCTCCAGAATCAAATTAACATAACTTTGTATATCTGAACTTGGTGAAAATGGTCCCTAGAAACCCCTTTACTTATGTGTTGTTTTATGTATTTCATTATCGGAAGTTATTTTTCCATATCCTCTCTACAGTACACCATTTGTGGACATGACTTGTTCCTTGCTTGACTTGTTCCTTGCTTGACTTGTTCTTCCTCACATGACTTGTTCTTCCTCACATGAATTGTTCTTCCTCACATGACTTGTTTCCCTATTGACTTGTTCTTCCTCACGTGACTTGTTCCTCCTTTGACATGTTCTTCCTCACATAACTTGTTCTTCACATAACTTGTTCCTCCTTTGACATGTTTTTCCTCACATGACTTGTTCCTCCTTGGACATGTTCTTCCTCACATGACTTGTTTCTCCTTTGACATGTTCTTCCTCACATAACTTGTTTCCTCCTTTGACATGTTCTTCCACACATAACTTGTTCTTCCTCCTTTGACATGTTCTTCGTCACATGACTTGTTCCTATTTTGACATGTTCTTCCTCACATGACTTGTTCTTCCTCCTTTGACATGTTCTTCGTCACATGACTTGTTCCTCCTTTGACATGTTCTTCCTCACATGACTTGTTCCTATTTTGACATGTTCTTCCTCACATGACTTGTTCCTCCTTGGACATGTTCTTCCTCACATGACTTGTTCCTAGTCTGACATGTTCTTCCTCACATAACTTGTTCTTCCTCCTTTGACATGTTCTTCCTCACATGACTTGTTCCTATTTTGACATGTTCTTCCTCACATAACTTGTTCTTCCTCCTTTGACATGTTCTTCCTCACATGACTTGTTCTTCCTCCTTTGACATGTTCTTCCTCACATAACTTGTTCTTCCAACTTTGACATGTTCTTCCTCACATGACTTGTTCCTATTTTGACATGTTCTTCCTCACATAACTTGTTCCTCCTTTGACATGTTTGTCCTCACATGACTTGTTCCTCCTTTGACATGTTCTTCCTTACATGGCTTGTTCTTCCTCTCATGACTTGTTCTTCCTCCTTTGACATGATCTTCCTCACATGACCTGTTCTTCTTCCTTTGGCTTGTTCTTCCTCACATGTTTTGTTCTTCCTCCTTTCACATGTTTTTTCTCACATGACTTGTTCTTCCTCACACGACTTGTTCATCCTCACATGACTTGTTCATCCTCACATGACTTGTTCTTCCTCCTTTGATGTTCTTCCACACACGACTTGTTCTTCCTCACACGACTTGTTCTTCCTCACATGACTTGTTCATTCTCCTATGATATGTTCTTCCACACACGGCTTGTTCTTCCTCACACGACTTGTTCTTCCTCACACTACTTGTTCTTCTTCCTTTGATATGTTCTTCCACACATGGCTTGTTCTTCTTCACATGACTTGTTCATCCTCACATGACTTGTTCTTCCTCCTTTGATGTTCTTCCACACACGACTTGTTCTTCCTCACACGACTTGTTCTTCCTCACATGACTTGTTCATTCTCCTATGATATGTTCTTCCACACATGGCTTGTTCTTCCTCACACGACTTGTTCTTCCTCACACTACTTGTTCTTCTTCCTTTGATATGTTCTTCCACACATGGCTTGTTCTTCCTCACACGACTTGTTCTTCCTCACACTACTTGTTCTTCTAAATTTGATATGTTCTTCCACACACGGCTTGTTCTTCCTCACACGACTTGTTCTTCCTCACACTACTTGTTCTTCTTCCTTTGATATGTTCTTCCACACATGGCTTGTTCTTCCTCACATGACTTGTTCATTCTCCTATGATATGTCCTTCCTCCCTTGACCTGTGTCCTTTTCATGACCTGTTTTTCCTGCCATGTTTTTGTTTCCCCAATTATTCTTCTTTCCACCATTTGTTCTCCGTCTTATCCTGGAACAAGTATTTTACACCCATGATCTTTGTGCTTTCCTATGACAATTTCTTCCCCCTTCAATGTCATTTTCTTATCTGACCTGTCATATTCCCCTGCTTCTCCCACAGGTGTTGGCAGTGGACCGGGCTATCAGTGGGCGGGTCAACACGGGAACAGCGGCATTGGTGGTGCGGGTCAATGACATTGAGGATCAACCACCTCAGTTCATTCAGGCGCCACCTGTCACCCGTATCCCTGAAGACATCCCCGTTAACTCCGGCGTTCTTGAAGGTCAGTGTCAACCTCTACGCCAGTCTTACCATGGCAAGTGTGGCAGGTATTTTTTTCCTCATCCTCTACACCTTTGTCTTTATGAATCATGTGCCTATAGTATTGACCTCAACACTGTAGTCTCACTAGCAGGTGTCTGTACCATGCCCACTACACCTGCATTTCACTATCAGGTGTGTTTATATCTTTGTACATCAACATTTCGTCTACAGGTGTATCTGTCTTGCCCTTTACACCTGTGTAATATTAGACCAGGTTTAGCTTGCATCTTGTCTAACAAATCTGCTGACTTTTTTTGGAAAGTCTTCGAGGTAGTAGATAATGACGAAAATTACGATGTTATTTACTTAGACTTTAGCAAAACATTTGACAGAGTACCGCATCAGAGGCTTCTCAGAAAAATTAAGGCTCATGGTATCGAGGGGAAAGTTTTAAATTGGATAAAATCATGGCTCACCGATAGAACGCAGAGGGTCAGCGTAGATGGTGTTAAATCTGAATGGGGTCGTGTAACCAGTGGGGTTCCCCAGGGGTCAGTACTAGGTCCACTCTTGTTCATAATCTACATAAACGATCTAGATACTGGGATCAGCAGTGACATAAGCAAGTTTGCGGTTGACACCAAAATAGGGCGGCAGATTAATTCAGGGCAGGATGCAAATGCATTACAGGAGGATCTAAATAAACTGCAGGGGTGGTCTGAAAAATGGCAAATGAAATTCGACACCAGCAAGTGCAGCGTACTTAATATTGGAAGAACAAATACTGTCAATGTATACAGCCTTGACAACATTAACCTAGAGAAGTCGACTTGTGAAAGAGACCTAGGGGTACTTGTAAGCCCGGACCTACGGCCTAGAAAACAGTGCGTTAATGTTCGAAATAAGGCAAACAGAGTATTGGGTTTTATATCTAGAAGTGTAAATAATAAGAGTGCAGAGGTCTTATTGCAACTATATCTTGCGCTAGTCAGGCCGCACCTCGATTATGCGGTTCAGTTCTGGTGCCAATTATAGAATGGATATCAATTCACTAGAGTCGGTGCAGCGAAGAATGACGAAAATGATTCCGGGACTTAGAAACCTTCCATATCATGATAGGTTAAAGAAACTAAACTTGCATTCCCTACAAAGACGAAGAGTGCGGGGAGATATGATAGAAGTATTTAAGTGGATGAAAGGAATCAATAAAGGGGATATCGATAAAGTTCTTATAATATCCGAGCAGGATAGGACTCAGAGCAACGGATTTAAGTTGGATAAGTTTAGGTTTAGGAGGGAGATAGGAAGGAACTGGTTCACAAATAGGGTGGTGGACGAGTGGAACAAGCTTAGCAACTTTGTAGTAAGTGCGGGAACGCTGGAAAGTTTCAAAAGGAGGCTGGATGGATTCATGGATGATGGAGAGTGGTAGTAACTCTCGACAGGAGCTGCCATGCACAGGCCAACCGGCCTATTGCAGACTCCTTATTTTCTTATGTTCCCTTTTGCACCTCTCTTAGTAGACTAGTGTAGCCGGTGTCTTTATCTTACCCTTTACACTTATGCCTCATTAGACAAAGTGTAGCAGGTGTCTGTCTCTCCCACCACACTTATGTCTTGTAGAATCAGGTGTAGCAGGTATCATTGTCTTCCTTGCTGCAACTGTCTCTTATTGGATCAAGTGTAGAAAGTATTTTTGTCTCACCCTCTGTATTGTTATCTCACTTGATCAGAAGTAAAAGATACTGTGGACCCTGCATCTGTTTCTCCCAGTACTGACACTTGTATCTCAGGAGCCCAGATGTAGAAGGTATACCTGTCTTGCCTGGTACTCCTGTGTCTACCTTTGTGTCTAAATTATTAGTGAATTACCTTTTGTAGTCTGTCACGCTTTTCCATAAAGAAATAAAGGGTATTTGCTAAAGATCATTTGCTGAATTCCTGTCTGATGTGATTTAATTAAGTATTTTACATGTGCTGTAGTTAATTTTTTAGTTGATGCTGGTAAATGGAATGACTTAGATTTACCTTTGCCACAAAGCTACACCTTTGTGTGTGTATCTACAGTATTCAAATACTATTTTATAAGGTTGTATGTTGAAGTTTGTGTTATATATGTACCTACAGTGAAGGCAGTGGATGGGGACCGGGGTGTGAACAACCCCATCACGTACTCAATTCTGGAGGGGGACAAGGGCCTCTTCCAGTTGGACCAGAAATCCGGTGTCCTGTATGTGAAGAAGCCCCTCGACCGTGAGAGTCCACTATCCAACAATGGTGCCTTTATTATCAAGATCCAGGTGAGAAAATACTTTTGGATGGAAAGAAGAAGCTGGGATAATATTATATACAGTATACAGTATAGTGATTGCAAGTACAGTTCAGTTTTACCCCAAAGAATCAGGCCAGGCTGAAGGTAAAAAAAATATTTGCCTGAACTTGCTATCATGAGGGTTTCACTGTGGGATTGAGGGTAACACCAGCTGTTGTTGCACCAGCTGGTGGTTTTTTTGGTAGAAATATATGACTCAAGGAAACATCAGATGTATATAAAAATAGCTTGACTGGTGTATAATATATTGGGGTTGAAAACAATCATTATTTTTCATAATTGATTATAATTGATTAGGCCCAGGAGGAAAGTGGGGTGGTGGACCCACCACCAACTATGACAACAGAGGTTACAGTGCTGCTGGAAGATGTGAATGATGAGACACCCACCTTCAAGGCCGCACACTACATAGCAGAGATAGCTGAAGGTTCCCAATTCAATAGCCCTGTCAACCTTATAGGAGATGCCATACCTGAGGTGTACGACCATGACCAGGTATAAATCTCCCATCTCTCATGCCTTCACACTTACCTTACTCTAGGTGTCACACTTCACTTGTGGGGTGTCAAATCTTACTAGGAGATGTCAAACTGTAGTAGTAGTAGGGTATTAAACTACAGTTGGAGAACCTTACCAGTGTTGGTGGGTGTCAAACAACTTGGGAAGCCAAATTTCAGTGAGGAATGCCAAATTACAGTTTGGGTTATCAAACCACATTGGGGATGTCACACTATCAAGAGTACAGTATAGGATGCCATCTTATTCATCTGAGAAAGTAGAGATACTGGATGTTCACACATTTTTTGTGAACTTAACATCAACAAAAAACAACAAAAAGACAAATCATACATCACTTGATGAGGTTTGGCAGAGTTCACTTGCTGGAGTTTATAATATGTACACTGATACCTGTAAATATACCCATTGTATTTAGTCATTGTCAGCTTCAGTGTTTACTGTAGTCACTATTGAAAATGTTTTATTCTTCCTGCCTTATGGGAAACTGTGACATGATAATATTGTTTTCTGCAAGAGATTTATAGTTTAGTAAATTTTTCACTGACATGATTATATTGGTAATTGGCTCATGATCCTAATATGGCTTCGATCTTTCAAGGGACATATTTTTGTGTGGGATATGGACCAGGTAAGTTGGACTGTTTATAATGGTGCTTATAGAATTATTTATTGGTGTTTGTACACCAGGAAAGATCCAACACAAGCCTACCACTAAACAAATATACTGGGGACTACTGCTGTATGCTCAGTTATTTTTATGAAAGTTGTGATTTGAGTCCTTTTTTCTCCATTAGCTTAATTTGGAACTCTTTAGTGCTGTACAGTACTTGTGAATTATTACAGGGGGTCCCCGATTTATGAACGTCTGACTTACAAATGTCCACCAATACGAACGGGGCTAAACTTGAAATTTACATTAGAGTATTGTATTTTATTTACCTGATGACTTAAGTTTTACTTTCATTTACTCTATTTTGTTATTCTATTGTCTTAAATTAAGTGATTTTAGATGTATATAAGGACTTAGGTTATGATATAGTGAGATTTTAAACATTGTTCTGTAAGTACGGTAGCACATAGCATGTGCTACGACTTACCTACAAATCCAACTTAAGAATGTCCTCAGGAACGGGACCCATTCGTAACCCGGGGACCCCCTACTTCATGAGTACTGTACTGTATCTTATAAACAGTCAGGACATGTGTATGCGCATGCAAGATGCCTACAACAGAATAGGTAGACCTGTATTTGTAGTTTCATAAATCATTGCATCGATCATTTGCTTCTTGTCTTATGATATGCGTTGTACCATCATGTGCTCATCAATTCAAATTATAAGACAGCACTCACACCTTACATTAATCTCAGCCTCAATCAACTCAGAGTATGGGTTCATTACGACTTTGCATTTTATGATTATTTTTCTTACCTCGTCTGACTTATAATCAAACAGATCAAAGTGAACTCACATTTCTCTACCACATTTGTTTCCACTGTTGTTCTTGTAAGGTTTAATACAGTTCTCAGTTAAAGTTAGTGATGTTTAAATCATGTCTTAGCAAGTGAAAAGCTATACAGTACAGTACAGTGTTGATAAATTTTCTGTCCTTACATCATTGTGATGACTGGTTTACTGTTTTATCATTGTATAAACACTAGTAAAAGACAGGAGCTTCAGTACCTCCAGCAGACAGGCAACAGGGCACTTACAGAGTAGGGTGAGGGCTACAAAAAATAATGTAGGGGATTTAATAGTACTGTACTGTTTTTCCTCAACCTCGTCATTTGTTACTAGAAATTGCACAGTACAGTATTTCTGGGCATATACTTAAGTCTATTATTGTGTGAAAATACACTCAAACAACAGAGGTCCTTGGTTATGTGGATACTGTTCCTTCTATATTTTATCTTGTAACCTTAATGGAGTCATCATATTTTACATTGAAATTGTTTAAACATTACTAGTAGAGTACATCTAACCTAATTGTTTAGTTTTAATTTTATATCACTTAAATTTCAAACCTTTTTGGCACTATGACAGTGTGTTAAGAGTTGTTAAGAAAAGTTGGATCTCTTCTGGTTCAGGTTGTTCTATACTGTACGTAGATGTTCTCATGTTTTCATATCTGTGGGCACCGCATCTTACTGGTCTAGAACCACTATCCCTTGCCCATCTTTCCTACTCATCACTTCTAACAGAGACTCAGTTATAATTTGAGTAGTCCATAAAGGTTATTTATTAAACAGTATAGATAATAAGCTATGCTGTATAGATATGAAGCTCACAAAGAATATGAAGATAATTAACACAGCAAGTGATGTGGCAGATCAAGGAAGATGTGATACAGGCAAATAAACAAAATGAACAGGTGGATCTCAGGCTGGTGCCAGCTTGGTGCTATCACTACTAATAAATTCATGCTCATAGTAAATGCAGCTTCTTTAAAACAGGCCTGAAAAAGGTTTAATTAAAAGCAAATCCATTTAGATGATTAATAAACATGTGTATCATTCATATAAAATAAGTCCTATTGTGTGTTGCAACTATTTCCTCAAGCATGATCCCAAGTATGGTAATGTGTACAGTACAGTATAGTATTACTGTAATGTACTATATAACGCTATAGTAGTTTGGCTGTATGCACACTGTGGCGAGTGTGTTTTAGATACTGGTAGGACCACCTGTGATGGACACAAGTTGGTTGTCATAAATATGTTTAACTAATATTGCATATTGCATATACATTAGTTTACAGTTACTGCATATGTTTGATATTGTACATTAGGTAAAAATAATATTATACTATTCTATATATAAAGTAGTTATTATTTCTATATTTGTCATCATATGGGTATTAAGAAACTGTGTAATGTAGTATAACTCCAGTATGAAGAATAATTGTGGAAGTAATAAATTAAAAAAGAGATCATGTAAATATACAGTATATTGGTTACTATATTCACTCAGTGCAAAATGACTGTACTGTGGGTAGTCTTCACGAGTTTTCCTCAGATCATGAATGAATTGATCATACTACTTACATGAAAAAATATTTTTTTTTTTCAGTTTTTAGCTCTAATATGGCAGATAATGCAGAAATACAAATCTACTTCATTATAAGGTCTATTCATTGAAAATTTTGAAAAGTAATCAACAAAAACAAGTTAATTCTTTACTCTCTATATATGGTATGCAACACTTTTAGTGAATCATTTTTTTTTATGACATGTATGAGGGAGTGACTAGGATAATAAGTTAATGGTACTGTATAATATTTGTCTTGATTTCTGGGTTTGACAATTTTGTTTGTACAGCATTTGTTTATTATACAATTGGTAGAGAGAGCTTAATAATATTTTCAGTTGAATAACATTATCCCAGAATACCTCTTATTAACATATTGGTGTGCCTCACCCAGGGGAACAATGGTACCTTCAGGATGTTCTTGGAGGGTGACGATGGTATGTTTGACATCACACCTCCTGAAGGAGTAAACTTTGCCGCCTTTCTCATTCGTGTCAGAAACCCTGCCTTACTGGATTATGAGAAAGTCAAGGGTAAGTTCAGTAGTGTTATAGTTATTGATGGTCAATATATCCAAGTCTAAGCAAAATTGGGGCGCTCCCATTGATAGTGACGAATCGACCAATGACACCCAAATCAGATTCTTGTTTCAACAGGAAGCCTGACTCTTTCTGTACCAGAAGGATGATGAATAAACCCTGTATTGGGTAGAGAAAGAGTTGAGCTTCCTGTTGAAACAAGAATCTGATTTGGGCACCATTAGTTGATTCGTCACTATCAATGTGAATGCCCCAAATGTAAGTAGCAATATTTAAATTGTTTTAGCAGTTATTTATAATCACTAAAGATATTATACCACAGTACAGTGTACAAGACACCTTAAAGTTTCTTTTTCAGTTTAATGTCATTAATACTGTAGATATGGTAGGCGCTGTGATTCACTAACCCGATTGGTCTCTTCCAGTGGTGAACTTTACAGTGGTGGCACGAGAGACAGTAGCTGAAAGACCCAAGTCATCCTCAGCCCTTGTCACTGTCCACATACGAGACACAAATGACAACTTCCCCATTTTTAATGAAGATCAGTATGAGGTCAGTCTCTGGGGTGTTACTACAGGTTGTACCTCTCTAGTCCGGCATTCTGTGGTCCGGAAACTCCCGTGGTCCGGAACGATTTTAGTTTGTCCAATTGGTAGATAGGCAGCTTTTTTTTCTTTTTTTTTTCTTTTTTTTTTTTATATAACTTATCTGAATTATTATTATTATTACAGGAGTATTAAATTTTCGCCCCTCAGGCCCCAATGTGGGTCAGTGACCTATGCCCGGGTGGGCTAATCCCCATAAAAAAAACAACAACAAAGCCGCGGGAAATTAAGGTTTGTTTACATCCGGCAGTTCGGCTGCTTTCTCTCTCTCTGCTTGTCTATACAGAGTACAACATTTAACCCTTCAATATTTATGAGCAGTAAATAAGTGTTGCTTTCATTTTCTTGTGTAGAGTAATGACGATATGTTTTCACATGTGCGCACTTACATACGCGCAGTCTCACTTTTTTTTTACCATTAATGGTTAGCTACTTATATTGTTCCATTTATTAACATTAAATAACATTACTTCAAACAACCATATTAATTTTTTTACATTAATTTTACTACAGCTACAATCAGGGTCTTATTTTCTTCAGTTTTATATGTAGAACCAATCAGTCACTGGTTTTGTAAGCATTAACGAAAACAATGCCGGCAGCCATCTCGTCTCCTCGCGTGTTTTAATATTCCACGTATTATTAATGAATTGTATTTTTCATTTTGCACACACAAACATTAATTCAGTAAAAACAAAATTCAGAAGCATTAATTAAAATATATATGAACAGTAAATAAGTGTTGCTTTCATATTCTTATGTAGAGTAATGACGACATGTTTTCACGTGTGCGCATGCGCACTTACATACGCGATCTCTCTTTTTTTCTTCACCATTATCGTTAGCTACTTCTATTGTTCCATTTATTAACATTAAATAACATTACTTAAAACAACCATATTAATTTTACTACAGCTACAACCAGGGTCTTATTTTCTTCAGTTTTATATGTAGAACCAGTCAGTCACTGGTTTTGTAAACAACGAAAACAAAGCTGTCTCATCTCCTCGTGTGTTTTAATATTCTACATATTATTAAAGAAATGTATAGCTCATTTTGCACACATAAACATTAATTCAATCAAAAAGACATTTAGTAATAAACAATATTGAATCCTTTGTACATAAGAGAAATGACGCTGTTTACACGATTGTGCACGTCTGAACGTTGGAGAGCCGTTCAAGCCCGTCGAAATTCGAGTTTCCGCCGTCAAAATTTTTAATTGTTTTTTTTCTGTGTCCCAATAAAAAACGTTGAATTAAAAATTCACGAAATTTGAGAAGCTACTGTACGACATTTAACCCATCAATATGTCTTCAAAGAGACCATGAAGCAGAGAAAGTGGTGCTAGTGCTTCCAAGCGTAAGCACACGTCACTATCTATCCAGGAAAAGGGTGAATTTCCATGGTCCGGCACCGGTCAAGTCCAGAGGTTGCCGGACTAGAGAGGTACAACCTGTATCAACAGTTCCTTGAGATAAATGTACAGTATTTATCAGGTGCCACTAAGAGGGCTCAGGCTCTCAATTGGCTTATTAATGTCAATGTTGTTGTTGTTGTTGATTTTTTTTATCTATTTTTCTGACTCAATAAACTGTTTCAATTATCATATAAGAATAGGATAATAGTTTAACATTCATCCTTTGAAATGTAACTTAGCTTTGTATGTACAGTACTAATTAGTCCTTTTACATTCCATTAAAATCCTTCATGTACAAGTATAATCTCTAAAGTTGCAATTGTTGCAAGACATCCATGAGGGATTGTCACTAGAACTTGTATAATATACAGTAAAATAAATTATGTTGCATATCTATTTTGATTTCATATTCAAGAATTTTTGATAGGTTTAATATTTAATACTTAAAGCTGCATTTAAAACAGTCATAAAAAGTTGGTTCTAGAAATTTGATTGCTGGTCTCCTGATACATACTTGGTGTTCCTCTAGGTTCTGATCCCTGAGGATGCAGCAGTAGGAGCAACAGTGGCATGGGTGCAGGCCAGGGATCCTGACAGTGGCAACTATGGTACTCAGGGTATCAAGTACACCGATCTCAGGGGTGCCTTAGCTGACAAGTGAGTGAAGCCTTAGTTGTAGCCTCTTTAAAATTGTATTGAAGCAAAGTTGGATGGGTGAACACTTGAGAACACCAGATGCTGTTGGCATAAGGACACTACTGGCTTTGTCACCTATCCTTGTTCAAAATAACTAAATTCAAATAATTATTATTATATTCTTGTTCAAGTAAAGATTTACATGAGGACAGATTTATAATGTAAACCCCAAATGACCTTAAGTAAGTACATTCAAAGTAAGCACTCGTGTGCCTCATATATTGATGGAGCAGATGCAGTATTTGATTTCCTTACTCATTCAACCCTATTCATTTGCAGGCTTGAGATGAACCCTGATACAGGTATGATCACCCTGAAGGAATCTGGGGCACTGGACCGGGAGAGTATTGCTGAACACTACCTCACAGTGGAGGCTAGGGATGACTTAGGCCAGGGCAACAGGTGAGTCAGCCCATACTGGTTTGAAATTTCTCATTTTTATATTGATACCATACAAGTGATATCTCCATTAGCTGGAACAATTGGTGTAGAGCACTTCCGGGAATGAGAGATTTCCGGGTAACAATAAGGCTCTCTCAAAGCCAGAAAAAATACTCCATCCCCGGAATTTTCCGGGTACCGGAAAATTTTCTCGGAATTTCCGGAAAATGATCCTGATTTTCATCTCTCAAATCTGGAATAAAAATCCCCTATCCCCAGTATTATCTGGGTACCAAGAAAACTTTCTTGAAAATTTCCAGAACACATGCCCCTCGGAAAATCATTCCCAAAGCCAGAATTTTCCGTAAAATTCTGGCATTGGGAACAATTTTCTGAGAAAATTTCAATCCCGGCTGTAGGAGAGTTCCGGATAAAAGAGATTCCGGCAAATGGAGATATTACTGCACTGTACTGTATGCTGTATATCTATATACTGTATATTTCTCTATCAATCATTCTCAATGCTGATATTTTTTAAGGAAAATAGTCATATGGTAACTATCCTACTTAACAGAAACACAGTGGTGGTGAAGGTGATGGTGGAGGACGTGAATGACCACCCACCAGTGTTCCTACAACGGAGGTATGAAGCTCGCCTCTTGGAGAACTCTGAAACTTTCCCTGAACCTTTCATCATCAGTGCCAGAGATGATGACCTCAATGGTACGTGAAAAAAGATAATTACAGTACAGGTTGTACCTCTCTAGTCCGGCATTCTGTGGTCTGGAACGATTTTAGTTTGCCCATGGAGAAAATTAATTTGAGTCTGGTACTTTCGATGTTTGGCTAAATTTGGCCTTATTTACCCTACTTTTTTGGCGAATTACTACCTGTAATAAAGCAACATCCTAATAAACCAACGAAAATAACACAGATAAAGTTAAATAAAAACTAAAAACAACTCAGAAAAGTTCTTATGTTCTACAGCTTTAGCTAGAGATGAACCTGATGGCTTGGCAAATTCGTCATCCGAGTAAAAACACACACAACAACATTGGCTGTCTTTATGTTTTTGACTTTACCACCACTGGTGGGTAGAATTTTTGTTTTAAATTCAGAAACATTAATTAAAATATATATAAACAGTAAATAAGTGTTGCTTTCATACTCTTATGTAGAGTAATGACAATATGTTTTCACCTGTGCGCACTTACATACACGATCTCACTTTTTTCCTTTACCATTAATGGTTAGCTACTTCCATTGTTCCATTTATTAACATTAAATAACATTACTTAAAACAACCATACTAATTTTACTACAGCTACAACCAGTGTCTTATTTTCTTCAGTTTTATACGTAGAACCAGTCAGTCACTGGTTTTGTATACAATGAAAACAATGCTGTCTCGTCTCCTTATGTGTTTTAATATTCTACGTATTATTAATTAATTGTATTGTTCATTTTGCATACATAAACATTAATTAAATCAAAAAGACATTCAGTAATAAACAATAATGAATGTTTAGTACATAGAGAAATGACGCTGTTTACACAATTGTGCATGTCTCAACGTTGGCGGGCCGCTCAAACCCGTCGAAATTCGAGTTTCCACCATCGAAATTTTAAATTGTGTAGTGTTTTTTTTTGTGTCCAAATAAAAAACGTTGAATTAAAAACTGGCAAAATTTGAGAACCTACTGTACAACATTTAACCCTTCAATATGTCTTCAAAGAGACCACAAAGCAGTGAAAGTGGTGCTAGTGCTTCCAAGTGTATGCACAAGTCACTATCTATCCAGGAAAAGGGTAAATTTCCATGGTCCGGAAATTTCCATGGTCCGGCACCGGTCAGGTCCCGAGGTTGCCGAACTAGAGAGGTACAACCTGTACTATACAGTATTGTAAATTTACTGCAGGTATTAGATTTTTGTAAGATAAGGGTAAATAATTCATGAAATATATATATATATATATATATATATATATATATATATATATATATATATATATATATATATATATATATATATATATATATATATATATATATATATATATATATATATATATATATATATATATACACACACACACACAGTCATGCGCCAGTTAACGTCCTACCGAATCAACGTCCGATCGCATATACGTCCGTGGCCCCAAACCTCCTTCCCCCCCCCAAAAAAAGCAAAAAAAACACGTGATACCTGCTGGACCACCACTCCACGACCCCCTGATGGAGACACGATGATCATCCCTATACTGGTTAGATATTATGTGTTAAAGGAATATGCTTCCTTACTTAGGCTTTTTTAAGCATTTGCCTACATTTGCCGACGCGGACTTTGAACAAAGCCTGTCCGCGTGTTATATAACACGCGGACAGGCTTTGTGTGAAATATAACAGAGTCTAGGACTGCTTTTAGTGTCCTTGTGGGTTGGTCGGTAGCGTTCCCTAGTCCCACCAAGTCGGTCGAGGGTTCGATTCCTGGCTGGTAAGGTCGTTGATTATATGTTCAAAGTCCGCGTGTTATATGGACTAAAAATGAAAGTATATACCCGGTATATGGTACCTCGTGTTTCATACCAGCTGGATTCGGTAAAATGCTACTGACACCACAAACGAGGCACGGGCAGTTCCCAATGAGGTTCATGGCGCCATCAGCTCGATGAACAGGCTTTGTGTGAAATATAACAGAGTCTAGGACTGCTTTTAGTGTCCTTGTGGGATGGTCGGTGGCATTCCCTAGTCTCACCCAGTAGGTTGAGGGTTCGATTCCTGGCTGGTGAGGTCGTTGATTATATGTTCAAAGTCCGCGTGTTATATGGACTAAAAATGAAAGTATATATATATATATATATATATATATATATATATATATATATATATATATATATATATATATATATATATATATATATATATATATATATATATATATATATATATATATATATATATATATATATATATATATATATATATATATATATATATATATATGTGTATGTATGTGTGTGTGTGTATATATATGTATATATGTATATATGTATATGTATATGTATATGTATACATATATATACACACAGTTGGGTCTGCATTTACGCAGTCAATTAAACCCGTGGAGGCCCGCGTAAAACGAGAAACGCGTAAATGAAATCACAGAACATATGGGATTAATTGAAATAGAGACTGGGCTGACCCCCAAACTCCATTTTTTGCGACACAATACGTACATTGTAGTAAAAATTAGTATCTTAATTTTATGATGGTAAGCACACACACATAATATAGAAGAGAAATATCAATAAGAGGATACTATACTGTACCAGGTTATAGAAAAATCAAGGTTTAACACTTACGTTAGTAGAAGAGGTGGGTCGGCATACGTGGATGGCGGCTGGTTCCGAGGCAGAGGGCAGATTATTTGCCCTCCAGTGAATCACTTTCACTTTCACTACTCGCAGATGTTTGCAGGGCCTCCCAGACAAACTTCTCAAAGTCCATATTCTCACTGTCAATATCACTATCACTGACTTGGGCCAGTTGTGGTTGTGGTGGGTTGCGAGCGAGGAAGTCCTCAATACTGCGTTGACGACTAGCATTGATGTTGTCGAGATAGATCTGGATATAGGGCTCTATAAATTTTGTCAGATGGTTATTAGACACTTCATACCGATGCTTATCTGGGTCGTTTTCAAGGATGAGCTTAAGTTTCTCCCCCAACTCGATGATTTCCTTCACATTATCATGGCTTGGTCCAGGTAATTCAATGTTTTTCTCTGGTGGTGGGGGTCCCACGGAAGCCATTGTGAGGGGAATAGCGGGCACAAGAGAGAACTGTATACGCGGACTGAGAACAATGAGACAGGCCCGGCTAGGTCAGCGACTTCTACCCTCTGGTGGTAGGGCACGTCATGTTACATTAGACCAATCACAGCTAGCGGCAGAGGGAATGCGTGGGTGGTAAGGATGCGTGGCCCAATCACAGTCCAATACGTCATATGACGTCACTGATAATGCAACAGCGACATACTGCGCAACCTTACTCGCGCCGCTTGTGGTCGCCTGGGCTGTTTGAATCCAAAATTGCGCGGCGCGTCTGGACCCTCCAGCGACTTGCCGCATAAATGACCAAATTTACCGCGTAATTAAAGCATTTCGATTCTGGTAAGGCACCACGTAAATGACCAAAAGCGTTAACCAAACCCGCGTAAATCCAGACTCGACTGTATATTTAACCAAAACCATTGTTTCAATGGGATTTTTGGTAATTGGTTCCAGCTCACCGAAAATTACATACAAATGAAAAATAAATGCAGTAAAGTATACTTACTTTGAGGTGTGCATGTAAAAGGCTCTTGGTTGATGATGATGGGAATTAGAATGGGGTTGGAGGAGAAGGGAGAAGAGAAGGCATTGGGGTGGAAGAGAAGTCACCCCATGCCGCCATTTCACCCATAAAATTTTAGTTCATTTGGTGTAATTCAAGATTATTTTCTTTAAATCAACACTGCACTGCGCTGTATATTATCAATACCGGTATGTAAAATATATTTCAAAATGACCAATAATTTGACTGGAAACACAGAATAAAAGCATTTATGTTGAAGAGTCTCAAACAAGATGTTCCTTCCTTTAAACCTGTAAACAAACTGACGCCAAGCTTGGTGTGTTGAGTGGCGCACATAAAACTAGTTTCCTGTACTTCAGTTATGTTCAATAATTGTTAAAATGACTAAAAAATTTAATTTAAAGCTTTTAAAATGATTGAATAGTACAACCTTCTTGATATTTACTAAAATGGTAAGGAATTTAAGCACTAGAACCGATTACTGTATTGGTGGACTAATACGACAGCTATTGAGCAAGCGAAAACATGTTGAGGGGCGCTCGTAAGGAATTCGTTAATCGAGGGATTGCTCGTTAACCGAAGTGAAGAATCTTATGGAAGGTAATTCGTTAACCGAAATTTCGTTAACCGAGGCGCTTGTTAACCGAGGGATCACTGTATATATGTGTGTGTGTAATAATAATAATAATAATAATAATAATAATAATAATAATAATTAACGGTTTATTAAGATAGCATGGCAGCCCAAAGGCTGAAAATATACAATGAACAGAGATGATAAGTTACATATGGTGAAATCAGGGAGTGAGTCATTTGATTGACAAAAGCTTTCAATATAAAAAATTAAGAAACATAGAGTCAACATATAGATTAACTACAGAGCTGGTACTGTGGGAGCTGGCCTTGTAGATAATCTTGTGACCTGATGTTGGCGCCCACTGTCTGGATGGCTGTCATACCTGGGTGCTAATCCGTTACCTCACTACAGCTGCAGATGTTTAGGACAGCCACCACGTGGTCCGGGTAGGTCCTTCAGCTCATACAGGGTCTTGGAGATGGTACTTGTTCCTCATGTGATGTAGTTAGGAATTCATAGTTCCTCACCTGGGTGGAGTAGGGAGTCCTCATTTCTCTCCTGATGTAGTTTGGAGTCTTTCTTGGCTTCTCATCCCGTGTTTGTGGTGGTCAACATTGACCGCTAAGCACGATTGTCGCTCCTTGTTTCGAGTTGAAATTGACACTTTTGTATATCAGTTGTGGGTTGATCGTCAATCTTAGCACTGTACTGTTGGTGGGAGGATGTTGATAAATCCAGATGGGAAGGAGGAGCTGGGGAAGGGGAAGGCCAGACAAACCGGGCTGGCAGCTGTCTCCATGGTCAAGAGACCACGGACGCGTGAGCAGGCAGCGCCGACGTCCTCACCCTATGAAGGGCGAGGACGGTGTATATGTGTGTGTGTGTGTGTGTGTGTGTGTGTGTGTGTGTGTGTGTGTGTGTCCTCAATAATCAAGGGACCTGATAATCGCTGATCTGGCTTATCACGGTATCCTCAATTGAGACCATGTGTTTTTTTATCACTGACTGATCTTGGTTATAGCTGAATTGTTATGGGACAGTGGCAGGTCTGTGAGAACTAGCAGTAGGAGTGACTGCCAAGAGGTGGCAGCACAGCTTGTGGTGCCAGCTTCCAGGGAATATTTAGGAAAAAACTTTTGTGTGGATTTTCCTCCTGTAGTTATAGTTTTTTAAGATAATATAAACAGTACCAGTAAATGTGAGTAATAAATAAAAATAATACCAATAAATAAGTCACCTTGAACGCCATTCTCTTTTGTCAGATCACCAGTATGGCTTTCGCCAGGTGACATCTACTGGTGATATGCTCTCCTACTGCACCCATCTTTGGTCATCCTCTCTTAGTAATTATGGGGAACTTTCGTCTTGGCCCTCGACATCTCTAAAGCATTTGACAGGGCATGGCACAAGTCTTTGCCTTCTAAACTTCCCTCTTATGGTTTCTCTCCCCCACTTTGTTCTCTAATTTCTAGCTTCCTTGAGAACCGATCCATGGCAGTTGTTGTCGAGGGATCTATCTCACACTTTTTCTCTACCAATAGTGGTGTTCCACAGGGTTCTGTTCCTTCACCTACTCTCTTCCTTCTTTTTATCAAAGACTTACTTCACACTACCACTAATTCCATCCATTCTTACACTGATGATTCTACCCTTCACCACATTTTCCCCTTCCCCCTAATTCTCAAACTAGATCGGTTTCTAGAGCTGATATTAATGTGGATCTGTGCAGCATCTCCGAATGGGGAGGTAAAAACTAGGTTAAATTTAATAGTAATAAAACTCAGTACAGTCGGCCCTTCACATACTCGGGTTTAGCATACACGGATTTGCAAATACGCGGATTGCCCCGCCGGAGGAATATTCTGTACATTGAAGTAATTGAAATACATTCAAATCGCTCGCCATTCAAATCGCGCGTGGCACCGCACACCGCCCGCCACCCCACACACACACACACACACACACACACACACACACACACACGCACGCACGCACGCGTCATGTCACCTCCCTCACTCAGTCAGTCTCGCTGTAACCACGCTTGTGTTGACATCAGCATTGTAGGTCGACCCTGATTTTTTTACCAAAAAATCGTTAATTTATGATATTCCTTGTTTATAGGTCGACCCAAGTTTTTGAGGGTATTGGAACAACAAAACTTTCAGTAAAAACACTCTACGTCCTACAAACTGAGGCTCACCGTGCCTGAAACACAGAGTTCCGAAGGCAAATTGTTTACCATTTATTATTACGACACTTTACACTGAAACATGGGTAGTTTCAACAAAAATATTGTATATTTTCATTCAAGTATTTATTCAAGTCAATTAGGAGGGAATATTATTGTAATACAACAGTTTTTTAACTGAAAACCAGTACTGTACACTAATGTACAACAATTTTTATCTCTTGAGCAAAATATATGACATTTATAATCAAATTATTGGCTGTCTTGCAAGGATTCCAGCAATGCAAATTATAATCTCCTAACTTTAGTCTGAGATATTATAAAATAAACACCTTAAAGAATAAAGTTATCACCAATCTTTTGACTGGGAACACAAGGAACCAGCGAGCATGGGGGGGGAGAACAGGGGGGGGGGTAGGTGAGATGACAGAGTGTGGTGTTTGTTTATTTATTTGAGATAAGATGTGACAGTTGGCGCTGAAGGCCTACGTGTTTATTTATCATTATTTAAGAGTGACTAAGCTCTTCTCATAATTTGCCACCCAACCAACCTGGGTGAATATAAATTTCATTGCTGGGATTCTTGTAAGATAGTGGTTTATTTGAATACCTGTATAAACAATCTATATTTGTAATAGACATAACAATTTAAGTACCATAATCATTTAGTACATGTACAGTACAGGTTTGTTCCACGGTAAAATCTTTTGAACAACGAAAGAAAGCGAAAGTCATTGTTTTCGTCATGATTATATCCCACTTTCCACTGTAATACGTACGTCATTTTAGCAAAAATATTACATTTCCATATTTATTTCTGAGAATATATTCATTCAGTCACAGTTAAGGTAAAATATACTTGTGATGTAATATTTTAATGAAAATACCCGGTATCGTAGTTTTCTTTTGTTTCAAATTTAATTAACAAAGATTGATGTTTCAAATGTAATGAACAAAAATTTATGTCCAGTATCTATAAATAAACTTTAATAAATGAATACTTTATGTTTTACATCGTCCTGTGCATACCATACCATGCATTTGGCTACTTTGGGCTTGCTATGATGACACAAGAGATCTGCCCTGGCAACTGTACCGACACTCACAGCTGGTGATGCGTTGATGCATCGTTTCCATTGTTTACTGGTAGTTACTGGTAAATATTTTTCAACCTAACAAAACTATTACCCGTTTAGAGGTCGACCACCAATTTTTTGCCAAATAATTTGGTCCTAAAAACTCGAACTACACACAGGTATATACGGTAAATAAGGACATGGGGGCCAGGGTTTTTTTTGGGGGGGGGGCAGCACATATACGCGGATTTTTAACATCCACGGGTATCTCTGTTACGTAACCCCCGCGTATGTTAAGGACCGACTGTAATTTCTTTTACCTTTTTTCACAATATGTGGACTGTATAGGATGGTGTGTGCATGTAACTGAGTAAAAATAAATGAAGAAAGTTATGTATATCTACCCAAAAATACGAGATGAAAAATAACCATAACACCAGTAGCTTCGTGGTTATAGTGACGAGTCTAACCTGGCTACAATGCCGCCAGGGATGTGACAGATGCAAATGTGAAAAGAAAGTTATATGTAAATCTTCATTTGTATCCGGAATTTGTAGATTTAAAAATAAATGTTGCAGGTATGGCATTAATACAGGTTGATTGTAAAGCTTTTAAGAGTTCTGAAATGGTTACTGCTTACCTACTTCTGAAGAGTTGGGGGTCTGCCGTATCGATGTCATGAGTCGACCTTTTATATTTACAATAATCATTTGTTAACCAGAACATTGTTTTGAATTTTTTTTCTCATTCATAGCAGCAAATTGCCTATTAATATTTATTTGATAGAAATAATGAGTTTTAGGAAAAGTGTATGAGTTTGTTTAAGTTTAAAATGCCTTGTAGACAGCAGTTTTGCTGGAATTTGTTTATGAATAAAGTATTGTGCTTTTATACAATATACAATGTGTAGTACAATATCTCTCTATCATTAAACTTCTTCACTCTGTTAATGATATCAACACTTTCTACTCAGGTACTATGAACCATGAAGTTCGGTACACCATCTTGAGTGGTGACCCCAGGAACAACTTCACCATCCACCCTCTGACGGGAGAGATCAAACCCTCAGCACCACTTGACTTTGAAGCCATTGACCAGGAGAGAGATATCAGATATTTTAACCTCACTATAAAGGTAAGATTTATGTTAGTGCTTTTCATTCAAATTGTTTAGAATTACTGTATGTGTTTTTAGATGATTGACCTAACGACAAACATTTTTAGTTTAATTCCTCATATAAAATAAAATTACAGTCAGGGCCAACTTGACATACATTATGCATTCCTGAAAATGCCTAAATTAACTGGATATACTGGACATTAAACAGACATTAATTTCCATTAGAAACCCGTGTTGTAAACTGAGATACGTTCCACAACATTCCCCTCCCCATTACAGGGGCAGATCCAGGAATATCAAAACGGGGGGAGGGGGTTCCAGGAAGCTGTGGGTGGGGGAACATGGTGAGCATAGCGAGCTCACCCAATGGGGGGGAGGAGGGGGGGTGCACTATAAGCTGACCCTGGAAATTTTCTAAAATCTGATCAATATAGTGGGCATTTTGGAGCCATGTGCACTTGATATTACTAAAATGCCTGCATTAAAGAAAAAGTACAGTACAGTATGCCTTTACTAATGACAGAATGGTGAAACAGAAACAAATAAACTTAGAACTGTGAGCTAATATACAATAGGAATGTTGTCATGTAGAGAGGAAACTCGGTGGTGGATATCATAAGAGCCTGAGCCTCAATGTTTAACGTTGTCAAACTTTTTTTCCTCGTTTAAAAACAAATCTCAAAAGGTTTGTTTCAAGTTTACATACAAGTAATATCTGATGTTTTTTTGCTGTAATGTACTTCCGTTTCTTTTATTTATTTATTTTATTTTTTAAGTTTCTATATTCTCGAAAAGCTACAGTCAAAGTATTTTGGGGGGTTTCTCAACATTTAACATCATCTCTGACTTTTTTTTTATCCCATAAAAAAAATCAAAACCTTTGTTTGAAGTTTAATGTATTTTAATTGAAGTACAGTACCATTTGTGTGAGAAAAATTTGATGAAAGATAATCTGCAGGAAAACAACCCTAACTATAATACTGTAATAACATTAAGCATATGGTAATGTTTCTATTGCACACTGTTGGCAAGTACTGGGCATGCACTGGCTTCTGAATGTATCTGAACCTGCTCCAGTATTGGTCAAGTCTGGTCTTGAAAAAGCTCATACTTGGTACCATCACAACACTTTCTGGTAGATTGTTCCAAGAGTTCACAACTCTCACTCTGAAAAGTTACCCCTCACAGTTTTCAGGACTTGTGGCTTTTTCAACATAATAGGAGATTGACTGTGATATCTTCCCAAACATTCTCACGCTAGTTTATATGATTTTATACCTGTACCAACAACTAATTCTAGTTTTACCTCTTGAATTATTGCTGCCACCTCTACAGTATTAGTATTGTGATAATTATCAGTTTCTTACCTTAAATTACCATATATTATGCAAAATTTTTTGTTAATGTAATTTTTTTTGTTTCCTTAATAACTAGGGCAAGCTGATTATAACTCTGACATTGGTTTTGTCACACTGTCGATATTAAAAAAAAAAAGATTTTGTATAATATACATTACAGTACAGTACTGTATTCAGGATTTAATGAATTTTAACAAATATTTATTGGTATTTGTTACAGCTATGTTTATTTATTGTTTACTTTGTAGATAATGATCCACAAAATAAACTATAAATATTTACAACTATAACTACTACAGTACAGTACATATAAATATTTGTAAAAATGCACAAAAATTAGACCAATAACACAATCTCACTAATTTCTCAAAAACTATTGCAAGTATGACAAAACCATTGTCATATTTGTAATCAGCATGACCTCATTACTAAAGAAACATTACTATACTGTAAATTACAGAAACATTAAACATTAGTATTCTAAAGAAAAACTTCAGGATATTTCTGACAACACTGAGTGGGGGAATATTTGAACTATGGGCGGCACACAAGTGCTGCTTGAGCTGTCAGTGGGACAATTGCGTCATGGCTACCAGTAGAACTTGTCGCCTATTCCCACACTCATTCTGCTATGTTTGTGAATATTGCATCGGTCCATGAGCCGTATTCACAGTTGTCGTGCCTGACCATCGGAAACCCAAAATCCTGTATTAGGGAGAGGTTACTTAAGAATGTGCTTTGGGCAGGGCTACCAGTGTTTCAAAATCATCTGGATGGCCGACTGTTGCCACAATCCAGGCATTGAGTACTGTTACCCCCAATAATATTTCCTTCAAACACACAAAAAAAATAACCAACTAATTTTTTTTACATAATATGAATAAATGAACATAAAAGTGTTAAGAGGTTTGTTTTGAAGGTCACATTTAACCAGTGCTCATGTTAGCCTCATTCAGGGGAGAAGGAAAAAATTATACAAGACAAGGCATTTGACCCCACAGGCTGCAAAAATAAAATAAATGCTTTGGTTTTTTTTATGCACACTTATTGTCAGCCAGGTTTATTTAATTCTAGTAAATAACTGACAATCTTTGAATGCATATGGAAACAAGACTCTGTTACTAACAAAGTCATTTTGTATCAGTTTTGTGTATATTATATCTCACTATATCAAAATTTCGAGGGTAAAAAAGTTTTTATATTCATCAGGACTACCATAGGGCGGGTAGCCTCCCGATGAATTGTTCCAACGATCCTGATAGGAAACCCGACCCACCAGAACTGCCTTCGGGTCTGTAGGTGTCTCTGAATAATCATACATGATGGTGATCCCAGTCAGTCGGGTGGTGTAATGACTGTGAATGCGGTCCCTAGTGAGGTCAAGCACAAGATTGTACCTGGCATTAAGTTATGTATTGTTTATCATGTTTAATTTGGCATGGTTATGGGTGACCGAGACAAACCATAGTCACCTCACTTCTGCTGTGGAAGCTGCCGGCTCAACATTAGAAGGATGTTTATGTGGTACTCGGGAGTATATGCTATTTGCCATTCCTTTAATTTGAAGAGAGCCAAATAACCATCATGATGACTGTTGCTTTTGTATGGCAAATCTTTCTAAGTACAAGAAGGGAAAAGGTGGAAGCTAAATTATATATCCGAGCATACCGTCTTCTATTATGTCCATGTCACACAATGAAGGTTCACCAATTTTCCTAGAAATCACTTCAAGTGTGGAATTATTATATTCTGAAGAAAGCAATGTTGGTGACTTTCATGAAACATTCCCAAGCACATCTCCACATTTTCCTAATCAGCATGAAATAGATAACTTAGTCAGGGACTTAAGTCTCACCAAGACTAAGGCAAAGGTCTTACATCTAATCTCAAGGAGTGGAATTTATTGGATCTTAGTTGCAAGACTTTAACATACAGGAAAAGGTATCTGCTTTTGCAACTTTCTTCAAAGTTTCTGGCCCCAATTTGTTGTGTTACTTCTCTGATGTAGATTGCCTTTTTGGTGAAATAAACATTGAGTACAAACCTTTAGATTGCCATCTATTTATTGACAGCTCAACAAAAAGTCACAAGGCTGTTTTGCTTCACAAAGGTACTAAACTTCCATCAATTCCAGTAGGTCACTCAGTTCACATGAAGACCATGAAAATGTGAAGTATTTGCTGGACATGATCAACTATACAAGGCACAATTGGGATGTGTGTGGAGAGTTTAAGATGCTAGCATTCTTGCTTAGAGTACAAGATGGTTACACCAAGACAAATTACATATCAGTAATACTACGATATGCAAAAACTAACATTTTAAAAGATCAGAATCACATTGAAATATTCACGGTTCCTGAAAGTTGGTGGATGAGTGTGACAAACTGGGGAGCTTGGCCGCTCAAGCTGTCAGCAGAGGCAGGAAATATGAAGTTGTTCGCAGTCATATTTCCCGCCTCTGCTGATGGTCGTGATTCTGATCTTTTACAATGTTAGTTTTTGCATAATGTAGTATTACTGATAGGTAATTTGTCATACTATGCCTTATTGTGGGTAAAAATAAGCATACAGTCAACCCTCACTTTACGCGGTTAATTCAACCCACAGGGTACCGCGGAAAGTGAGAAACGCGTAAAGTGAACAACATAACATATGGGATTAATTGAAATAGAGACCGGGCCGACCCCCAAACTCCACTTTTTGATGACACACAACTATGTTGTAGTAAAAATATTATCTTAACTTTATGATGGTATGCACACACAATTAATAATTAAGAGAAATATCAATAATATTAGGTTTTTTAACACTTACATTAGTAGAAAAGATGGCTGGGCACACGGGGATGGGCGGTTGGCTCCGAGGCAGAGGGCAGATTATTGGCCCTCACCTGTATCACTTTTATCAATTGTATCACTATCCACCACAGAGGCTTGCAGGGCCTCTTTGTCAAACCCCTCAAAGTCCATATAAGTCCATATCCTCACTATAATTATCACTATCACTGACTTGGGCCGGCTGTGATGGGTGGCGGGTGAAGAACTCAGTAATGTTTTGATGACTGGGCGACCTTGTGTGCACCATGCTCGCGCCGCTTACACAACATGGCGGATGGCGGGAGAGGGCGGGAGAGATGGCGGGAGGTTTGGATCCAAAAATGGCGCGGCTCGCCAGCCGCTCTCCGCGTAAAGGGGTACACGCACCGCGGAATGTGAGCATTCCTGTTTCGGCAGGGTACCGCGTAAATGTGGAAACGCGGAATGTGGGACCGCGTAAAGCGAGGGTTGACTGTATATTAAATGCATCCTCCGAAAGCATGAATTTGCTATCAGAGATTAACAGTTAATTCATGTATAATACTTCTTATAAACTTCCTACGTGCTAATATCTGAAACAATGAATGTATGTACAGGTTGTACCTCTCTAGTCTGGCATTCTGTGGTCCGGAAACTCCCGTGGTCCGGAACGATTTTAGTTTGTCCAATAGGTAGATAGGCAGCTTTTTTTTTTTTTTACTTATCTGAATTATTATTATTATTACAGGAGTATTAAATTTTTGCCCCTCAGGCCCCAATGTGGGTCAGTGACCTATGCCCGGGTGGGCTAATCCCCTTAAAAAAAAAAAAAAGCCGCGGGAAATTAAGGTTTGTTTACATCCGGCACTTCGGCTGCTCTCTCTCTCTCTGCTTGTCTATACAGAGTACAACATTTAACCCTTCAATATATATGAGCAGTAAATAAGTGTTGCTTTCATATTCTTATGTAGAGTAATGATGATATGTTTTCACATGTGCGCACTTACATACGCGCAGTCTCACTTTTTTTTTACCATTAATGGTTAGCTACTTATATTGTTCCATTTATTAGCATTAAATAACATTACAGGTACCGTATATACTCGTCTATAACCCCCCTTCGTATATAGGTCGACCCCGATTTTTTGACCAAGAAATCGTTAATTTATGATATTCCTTGTTTATAGGTCGACCCAAGTTTTTGAGGGTAAAGGAACAACAAAACCTTCAGTAAAAACACTCTACGTCCTATAAACTTGTTTACCATTTATTATTACGACACTTTACAGTGAAACGCGGGTAATTTCAACAAAAATATTGTATATTTCCATTCAAGTATTTATTCAAGTCAATTCGGAGGGAATGTTATTGTAATACAATGGTTTTTTAACTGAAAACCATTCGAAAAGCGATTACGGTAACATCTTTTGAACGAAAGAAAGCAAAAGTCATTGTTTTCGTCACAATTTTATCCCACTTTCTACTGTAATACGTACGTCATTTCAGCAAAAAATATTACATTTCCATGAATGTATTATATCAACCACAGTATGAATAGAATACAGTATCACTAATATAACAGTATTTTAACTGAAAACTATTAAAAAAACGAGTAACATATCTTGAACATTGGAAGGTTAGGTAAAGTCTTTTGTTTTCTGCATGTAGTATATCCTAATTTACATTGAAATACATCACGTTTCAGCAAAACTACTATTTATTTCTGAGAATATGGAAATGTAATATTTTTGCTGAAATGACGTACGTATTCAGTGGAAAGTGGGATAAAATCGTGACAAAAACAATGACTTTCGCTTTCTTTCGTTGAAAAGATGTTACCGTAATCGCCTTTCGAATGGTTTTCAGTTAAAAACTGTTATATTACAATAATATTCTATCCTAATTCACTTGTGATGTAAAAGTTTTTTAACTGAAAACGATTCGAAAAACACGTGTACCGTCTAGCTGATACGGCAGAGCCCTGGTCGCAGAGGCTTTGTTTTTGCATCGGCCCTTCTTAAGCAGCTTTTAATTTTAGCGTACGTTGAAATTGTGTTTACCGGTATATTCTTATTTTCTTGCTTCTTATTTTCCAGAAATATGACAAGTTTGTATATAATACAATGTTACGGTACTTTTAATTTACAAGTATTCATTTTTAAAAATACAGAAGACACCAAAAAAATACTAGTAAGGATATTTGCGTGACTCTCCCGCCAAAAAAGACCAAACAGCTGGTATTCTCTCCCTCAGCCCTACCAAAAATAGCCCAACATCTTTCTTGTTTATTCTCTTCCAATTTCTCACTTTAACTGGTATTTTTTACTTCATATTGCCTACATCAGATAAACTACAGTAATTGAGGTTAGATACTGTTATAAATTTGATTACCGGGTCCTGGCAGGTGCCGTTAGACCCACCTGACCCTACCAACAGTGTTGCAAGTCAGACAGCATTTTTTTTTTTTTACATTTTTGGTGTCTCCATTTATTAATTTTTTTTCTGTGGAGTTTGCACAATAGTATACTGTTTTACCTACAGTATTGTAAAATGATTTGGGAAAAGAAATACTCGGTAACTTAAAATTTTAAAAGGAAAGTTTTGAAACTGGCAACTGTGTGTAGATGACCTGACTCACATCATATTATGTCATCACGATTAGCCCACGTGTATATTTCAAATTGTGTCTTGTTACAGTGTAGACGTGCTTGACCCATATTCTCTTCAGCATGGATTCAAGAAGAAAGTTCACAGCTATGTTCAAGCTGAGAGTGATTGAATATGCAGAACAGACTAACAACTGTGCAGCAGCAAGGGAATTTAAGGTTTCCGAAAAAAGTGTTAGAGACTGGAAAAAGCTCTCTGCACAACTTAAGCTTTTGCCGAAAAACAAATGTGTTAACAGAGGAAAGTGTAACAAGTGGCCACAGTTGGAAGTTGAAGTGGCAAAGTATGTCAGTGAAAACCGACTGACCAATACGGTCAGACTCTGGCGAGCTCACTGATAACGATGGAGAAATGAGCAATAATTTGAATAAATATTTTTCAACAGTTTTCACCACCGAAAATTTAAACATGATACCCGAGGCACCGACTCTATTCAGAGATAGTGAAGAAAACAAATTAAGTGAGATAGTAGTGACTAGTAACGATGTTAGTAAGCAAATAGACAAATTAAAGCCTAATAAGTCACCTGGTCCTGATGAGATATTTGCCAGAGTATTAAAGGAATGTAAGGAAGAGCTTAGTATGCCCTTAGCAAAGTTGTTTAACATGTCCTTAAAAACAGGTGTAGTACCAGAATCCTGGAGGATAGCGAATGTAAGACCGATTTTCAAGAAGGGGGATAGATCACTATCCTCTAAATACCGCCCAATCAGTCTAACATCAATAGTAGGCAAATTACTGGAAGCAATCATTTCAAACTCTATTTGAAATCACCTGGAGAAGCACCGATTGATCAATGATTCCCAGCATGGCTTCACAAGCGGACGTTCTTGCCTAACTAATCTATTAACATTCTTTTCATCAGTTTTCGAATCGGTGGATGAGGGGCACAATTATGATGTGGTATATCTCGACTTCAGTAAAGCCTTCGACAGAGTCCCCCATGAAAGACTAATTAGAAAGGTAGAAGCTCATGGCATCAAAGGTGACATCCTTAAATGGATTAGGGCGTGGTTACAGGACAGGAAACAGCGAGTGAGCATTAACGGCACTAAGTCCCATGGGAGCAACGTCACAAGTGGAGTTCCCCAAGGCTCAGTACTTGGACCATTATTGTTTATTATATACATAAACGACATAGATATCGGCATAGACAGCAACATAAGTAAATTTGCTGATGACACTAAAATAGGACGTGTTATCAAATCTGACGAGGACTCGGCAAAACTACAGGAAGATCTAAACAAATTTTTCGAATGGTCGGAAAAATGGCAGATGAAATTCAAGTCGACAAATGTAAAGTACTCAGTATAGGAGATGTAAACAGGGAAACCAGATACCAGATGAACAACGATGCCATAGAGAAATCCGACTGCGAGAGAGATTTAGGAGTAATGATAAGTAGGAACCTTAAGCCAAGTAAACAATGTGTTTTTGCTCGTAACAAGGCTAATAAAGTACTTGGGTTCATACAAAGGAGTGTTAGTTACAAGACTAGCGAGGTCATCCTAAAACTGTATCTTGCTCTTGTGAGACCACACCTGGATTATGCAGTTCAGTTCTGGTCACCGTATTACAGAATGGATATAGAATCCTTGGAAAGAATTCAGAGGAGAATGACAAGACTAATCCCGGGCATTAGGAACCTTGAGTATAGAGACAGGTTAAAGCATCTTAATTTGCACTCCCTCGAGAGACGTAGAGCGAGGGGCGACCTGATAGAGGTGTATAAGTGGAAGGCAGGGCTAAACAAAGGGGACATTACAAAGGTACTCAAACTATCCAACCAGGAGCGAACTCGTAACAATGGTTTTAAATTAGACAAATTTAGATTTAGGCGTGAAATAGGTAAACACTGGTTTGGAAACAGAGTAGTGGATGAATGGAACAAGTTACCAAATATCATCATTAACTCGAATACGCTGAATTGCTTCAAACATAGGTTGGATGCTCATATGAGCAATAGGGGTTGGGTGTAAACGGGACTGCCCAGTATGGGCCAATAGGCCCGCTGCAGTTTCCTCCATTCTTATGTTCTTATGTTCTTATGTTCCCGAGGATCAATTCGAATCTTTGCCTTGAAACTAGCAAGGAAATTAGGCATCACAGATTTTAAAGTGAGTCATGGTTGGTGCACAAGATTTATGAAAAGAAATGATTTTGTACTGAGACGGAAAACGAAAATATCACAGCGTCTTCCACAAGAACTTGATGACAAGGTTATTGAATTTCATAGGTTCATAATCAAACACGGAAGAAGAATTCATATAGACTTTCGTGTATTGGAAACATGGATGAAACGCCCATGATTTTTGATATGCCAATCAGTCAAACAGTGAATATAGTTGGTGAAAAAACAATTTTAGTTAAAACTACTGGACATGAAAAATCAAGATTCACAGTTGTGCTATCATGTATGGCTGACGGCACAAAGCTGACGCCTATGGTAATATCTAAAAGGAAAACAATTCCAAAGCAAAATTTTCCAAAAGGTATAATCATCCATGTGCACGAGAAAGGGTGGATGGATGAAGGCGGCATACAAATATGGCTTAAAAAAGTCTGCAACTTTAGACCAGGGGGACTGCGCAAAGAAAAAAGTCTTCTTGTGTGGGATATGTTTCGGTCACATCTTGTTGACAGTGTTACTGCTGGGATTAGGAAGGAAAACACTGATACAGCTGTGATTCCTGGTGGATTAACAAGTCTTGTCCAACCACTGGATGTTTCCATAAACAAACCATTTAAAGATGCGGTAAGAGTGAAGTGGAACAACTGGATGATAGAAGGCGATAAGACATACACAAAGGGAGGCAACATCCAAGCTCCATCACTAGCAACATTATGTGAATGGATTGTAGAGGCCTGGGATGCAATCAGACCAGAAATTGTGGTGAAATCTTTTAAGAAATGTGGATTTCGAATGCTCTTGATGGAACAGAAGACGACTTGTTGTGGGATTATGAGGCTAATGAGAGCGTGATTCAGGATGAAGATATTGATGATCCTATGGCTGATGATGGTGTTGATCCATATGACGATGCTGTTCAAGGAGAGGACTGGGAGGAGCTGTTTGGTGCTGCAGATGATGACAAGGAAAATGATTTTGATGGATTTTAATGAAAATATTCAGAAATATGGTATCGTAGTATTTATTCAAGTCAATTAGGATAGAATATTATTGTAATACAACAGTTTTTTAACTGAAAACCATTCGAAAAGCGATTACGGTAAAATCTTTTGAACAACGAAAGAAAGCGAAAGTCATTGTTTTCGTCATGATTATATCCCACTTTCCACTGTAATACATACGTCATTTCAGCAAAAATATTACATTTCCATATTTATTTCTGAGAATATATTCATTCAGGCACAGTTAAGGTAAAATATACTTGTGATGTAATATTTTAATGAAAATATTTAGAAATAAGGTATCGTATTTTTCTTTTGTTTCAAATATAATTAACAAAGATTGATGTTTCAAATTTAATTAACAAAAATTTATGTATCTATAAATAAACTTTTAAAATTGAATACTTTATGTTTTACATCGTCCTGTGCATACCATACCATGCATTTGGCTACTTTGGGCTTGCTATGATGACGCAAGAGATCTTCCCTGGCAACTGTACCGACACTCACAGCGGGTGGTGCGTTGTTTCCATTGTTTACTGGTAGTTACTGGTAAATATTTTTCAACCTAACAAAACTATTACCCGTATAGAGGTCGACCCCCAACTTTTTGCCAAAAAATTTGGTCTTAAAACCTCGTGCTATACACGGGTATATACGGTACTTCAAACAACCATATTCATTCTTTTACATTAATTTTACTACAGCTAAAATCAGGGTCTTATTTTCTTCAGTTTTATATGTAGAACCAATCAGTCACTGGTTTTGTAAGCTTTAACATAAACAATGCCGGCAGCCGTCTCGTCTCCTCTAATATTCCACGTATTATTAATAAATTGTATTGTTAATTTTGCACACACACACACATTAATTCAATGAAAACAAATTCAGAAACATTAATTAATATATATATGAATATATGAACAGTAAATAAGTGTTGCTTTCATATTCTTATGTAAAGTAATGACGATATGTTTTCACATGTGCGCATGCGCACTTACATACGCGATCTCTCTTTTTTCTTTACCATTATCGTTAGCTACTTCTATTGTTCCATTTATTAACATTAAATAACATTACAGTACTTAAAACAACCATATTAATTTTACTACAGCTACAACCAAGGTCTTATTTTCTTCAGTTTTATATGTAGAACCAGTCAGTCACTGGTTTTGTAATCAACGAAAACAATGCTGTGTCATTTCCTCGAGTGTTTTAATATTCTACGTATTATTAATGAATTGTATTGCTCATTTTGCACACAAACATTAATTCAATAAAAAAGTCATTCAGTAATAAACAATAATGAATCTTTTGTACATAAGAGAAATGACGCTGTTTACACAATTATGCACGTCGTCTGCACGTTGGCGGGCCGTTCAAACCCGTCAAAATTCAAGTTTCCGCCGTCAAAATTTTTATTTATTTAATTTTTGTGTTCCAATAAAATACGTTAAGAATTATAAACTCGCGAAATTTGAGAAGCTACTATACGACATTTAACCCTTCAAAGAGACCATGATGCAGAGAAAGTGTTGCTAGTGCTTCCAAGCATAAGCACAAGTCACTATCTATCCAGGAAAAGGGTGAATTTCCATGGTCCGGCACTGGTGAGGTCCCTAGGTTGCCGGACTAGAGAGGTACAACCTGTAACACCAAATTGACCATAGCTGCGTCAGTGAGGGTAGGAGGTCTTACATCAAACAGCGTAAATAATAAGACGCATTGAAAACTAACACCCACGCGTGGAAAGAATATCAATGGTCGGTCAGTCATGTGAGATGGGCCTAAAACTGACTAATGTAGATGATTACTATGATGACTTAACACAGGTGATGACTTAAGCAGATGGTGACTAATCTAACCAGAATCAAGGTCACTTCTCGTCATAATATAATTTATCTCGGAATGATCATCGGTGATTCATAATAATTTTTTTTTTGTGATTTTGACCTTTCCTTACGGCGAATATTTCTTTAACTAATTATTCTAACCTTTATTCTATTCCTTCTTATAGTATATTAGATACTGTAAGTATGACAACCTCGACCATGATTATAACAACCACAACCATGATTATAACAACCAGGACCATGATTATAACAACCAGGACCATGATTATAACAACCAGGACCATGATTATAACAACCACGAATATGATTATAACAACCACGTCCATGAT